GCGGGATCGATCCCTGCGACGGAGTTGACGGAGGAGAGGTGTTGTGTCTGTAGGTGGCGGGATGGTTGTGGTGTTTGATGGTGTAGTGTCGGAAAGGTAGTTGGTTTGGTCTGGTGTGATGGATATCGTGGGGTCCATGCGATAGTGTCCAGGGGAGCCTGGGGAGCCAGGCAGGAACTGTAGTCTGTGGAGCCCGCGTCGGGCGTCGTAGGTGGTGTTGATCAAATGACGGAGGGTGTTGCGGAGTTGCAAAAAGAGTCGGTAGGCTGGTGTGTTGATGAAAGAGGACATCGGGGGAATTGGGTCTTGCACAATGGGGTGATGTTGAAGGTCGTCAATCAGTGTTGCGATGGTGCAGAGCATCCAGTTGAGAAGGAGTAGCTCTGGCTGGTGTGTCGCTGATGGGGCCACGTAGGGCATCGGGTTGTTGGGTAAGAAATGCCCGCGGTGTGTGGTGGGTGGTTCCGTGTAGATGGTGGCCGTCGGTGGATGGTGAGATGACGTGGTTTGTAGATCAGCGCTGAGCATCGTAGCAAACATGCGGCGATCAGTCATGGAGAGCATGAAGGAGGGAAACCGGTTCAGTAAAATGGCTGCGGAAAGTGTGTCAACTGTGGCTGTGTAAAGAAAGTCTCAAGCAAAGAACATGATCTGTTAAAAGTGTGCGCTGGCTAGGTTTTTGTCGCCTGTGCTCGCCGAAGAGTGTCGGTGAGACTGAAATACGGATCAGCAACTGCGGCCGGTGAAGCGGTCTCAGGTGAAGGAGTGAGCATGTTGGCCGCTGCAGGTTTCGGGCTGCAAAGTTGCCGTGGCGCTGGATCCTGTAGTTAGTCAGCATGGGCATCACGGGATCGGGACCGTTCTCGGTTTCGATTGTCATTGCTGAGGGTGTGGTGCGGAGTGGCGCGTGGTGGAGGACCGGTCCAGTAATGGTGGAAGCGTTCTGCATCTTCTGGTGGTGTACGTGGTGCTGGAGAGGGTGAGCGGCTGGAGAGTGTGCGTGGCAGAGGGAAGCCTGGCGGTGTGTTGTGTAGGATGGCCAGGTTCCTGGATGAGAGTGTTGCTGTGGGGTCGATGCGGTATTGCCCTGGGAGGCCTGGCCTGGTCCGGTGGGGACAAATTGAAGGAGCCGGCGAGCGTGGTAAAGATTATCAATCAGGCTGTCCATCAAAATCAGGTCTCCGCGCATGCGGTAAAGGAGGTTGTATGCTCTGTGGTCCTGAAAATACGTTTGGTTTGGCATGGGGTCTGTGTTGAGTGGGTGGCGGCGGATGTGTTGGTTGACCATGAAAAGGAGGTCGAGTGAGCTGTTGAGAGATTGGAAGTCCGGTTGAGTGCAAATAGAAGGTTGGAGCCAGCTAGGGGGTCGTGCTGGTAGAAAGTATTCCGTGTTTGTAGTGCTGACTGGTGGGCGAGCGCGACGAGTGGCCATGGAGGCAGGTACGAGAGTTCAGGACAAAGTGGCACACAAAAAGCTGCGGAGCTGGAGTGAGCCTTGCAGTCGGTGAACAACATATGGCGGAAAGTGCTGGGATTAAACTCATGGAAGACGGATCAAGCGTGTCCAAAAACTTGAACTGCAGTGTTGCATAACAAAATTGAGAGTGTGGAAGGATACTGCACAAGGATGTCACTGAAAGTCGCTGGATTTATCCTGTGGCACGCCGGGGAGAGAGAGAGAGAGAGATTGGGTGAAACGAATCACATGAAATAGCTGCCAATAGGCGTGTTTGGAGATTTCTCCGGATGCCTGTTCTCACTAGGCGCTCGCTCAGCAGCCGGCAGCGGCAGCACATCAGCTGTGGGCGATTTTGCTGGTGGTGTCGGAGGTGTTGTCATGGGAGAAGGTGAAAAATCCGGTTGTGAAGGCGGTGGCGGTGAGCCTGCTGGTGAGGTGGGAGTGGGTGGAGGGGAAGGTTCCTGTTGTTGTGGGTCCGCCTGTGGTGGCTTGGAGGAGAGTTGTTTGTCCTGTAAATGTTGCAGGTCCTTTAGTTCTTTCCATCGGGCCTGACATTGCTCGACGGAGAAGCCAACTCGTCGAGCGACAAAAACCCAATTGGGACGGAGCCTGGGATTGCCTTTGAGTTCCACGAGGCGACAGTCGGCGTCGCCATCCCATGCGTCCCAGTCTGCCTGCTGGTTGAGTGGTGGTGGTGGTGGCTGTTTTCGCTTGCGAGTTGTAGCGGGTTGTGGAGTTGGGGTGGGTGAAGGTGTGTCGTCGGAGTTGTTGGATGGTGGTGGTGGTAGGCGGATAGGTGGTCTGGAGGGTGCCGAATCGCAGGAGGAGGTGGGGGAAGGTAAGTTGATAGAGTAAGTTGGTGGTGGTGGTAGCTGTCGGAAATTCTGGCGGAAAGTGGGGTCCGCCTGGCGGATGTGGTGTAGAAGGTGGGTGTGGAGGTGGGCCATGATGTCAGTTGCTTGTCGTAGCAGGTTTTGGACCTGCGAGAGTGCCACCGTTGTTTGGTGTGGCGAAGAACCGCAAGGTGAAAAGGTCAGCGGAAACAGTATGGTTGAACATGGTTTCCAAATGTGCAAGTCTGCGGTCGGCGGCTCACGTTCAGCTGAGAAATGCGGTGGAAACACCTGTTTGTGGGATGAAACATGCAACCACCATGAATCAAAAAGTGGAAAAGTGGAGTCACAGCTTGCGAAAGAACGAGCAGGTACGTCGGCCAGCGTCCTGGCCGATATCCTCAGGGCACTGCAGAGAGCTTTGTTAAGTGGAGCTCTGCAGGCCTGCTCCACTCCCCTGCTTCGGAATCTGTGGTGAAACAAGTGGTGAGTGAATTGGTTGGAAGAGACCCTTTGTCCAGGGGTGGACACACACACACTTAGATATAGAGCTGTCAGTTTTGGTACCCCTGATGCATTAGGACTTTACATTACTGCAATGGACCTTGGCTGAAGGAACGGCAAGGTGAAGAGTTGGCACTAGCCCTTTACGGACGGACGAGTGGAGTAAAAAGCTTGGACAACAGCTCAAGCAACAAGAACGGAGAGGTGGTCACCCGCTGCGACTTATAATGCGCCCAGGCGCCCCACGCGTGCAGGTACGTTTACCTGATCGTCCAGCGTGGAGCTTCATTGGCAGGGGCCACAACTGGAGATCCCTCCCTGTAGGACTGCACATTTAAATATATAGTTAGATGTGAATTAAGCAGTGAAGGAGGAACCTGACTGCCGGGCACCCCAACAAGCCACGAGCAGAGAAAGGCCGGGGGGGGTTGCCAAAAGGCAGGGCGCATTTGCCAGAAGGCACGGCCACATAGCCGTATCGGCGCTCCCTTGACTTGCAAAACAAATGAATTTCACAGAACAAGCCGCTAGCAAGGAACACAAGGCCTAGAAAAAGAAGAGATGCCGAAGGAAGAACAGCAGCGCATGCGAGTTAAAGATTGGGAACCATGTGGACATGTCATGATTCATAACACTCTTTAAGTATATTATTAGGAGGCCCAGCAGCTTAAGTCAGCAATCTCGAGGAGGCACGAATGATTAGGAATGATCGCGCAGGACGATTGACCAGTGATTGTCACCCTTGAGGGTCTGTGATAGCAGCGCCCCCAAAAATGGGTTCACACAGTGCACCGCGGTGGGACGGCACTGCAGGTCACACTTAGATATAGAGCTCGCAAGAGCAAGAGTCAGTTATGGCACCCCTGATGCGCTAGGACTTCACATTACTGCAATAGACCTTGGCTGAAGGAGCGGCAAGGTGAAGAGTTGGCATTAGCCCTTTACGGACGGACAAGTGGAGTAAAAAGCTTGGACAACAGTTCAAGCAAAAAGAACGGAGAGGTGGTCACCAGCTGCGACTTATAATGCGCCCAGGCGCCCCACGTTTGCAGGTACGTTTACCTGAGTGTCCAGCGTGGAGCTTCGTTGGCAGAGGCCACAACTGGAGATCCCTCTGCCCCCTGCAAATTTAAATATATAGTTAGATGATTAAGCAGTGAAGGAGGAAAGGTGTTAAAGTGTGTGGATCCCTTAGGAACAGGGTTTGACACACACACGCACACACACACACACACACACTTGAGAAGGTTGCTCCGTGGAGCTTGTCTTCAGGCTATTCGCGGTGAGCATTAGCACTTTAGTGTTACTGCAAATTAGACCTTGACTAAGGAAAGTGCTGAGTCGGTCAAACAGAATGTTTGAACAGCGCATCAAAAGTTACTGCAAATTAGACCTTGACTAAAAGAAAGTGCTGAGTCGGTCGACCAGAATGTTGGAACAAATCGTTGAGAGATCGATTGAAACAGTTCGAAACTAGCGCAGGTACGTTCAGCTACCTTCCTCTCCGAATATCACATCCGATCAGCAGCGTCTTTGTTAGGCAGTGACTGCTGAAAGGACCACTGCCCCCCTGCTGCTTCTGTACAAGGTGCAACTCAGCGAAATAGAATACGCGAGAAACAGATAGATAGGTTAGTTCCCTTCGAAGCAGGGGTTAACACACACTTATGGATATGCGTACTGACTTGACAGCGGTGCCACACGCCTGCCTAAGAAACCCAAATCCTGAAAGGTCCAGGAAAGTCCTAAAGAGCCTGGGGGTCTTCAAAAGGAAGTGTGGCCCAAAGCGCGAGGCGAAGCCGATCCGACAAAGTGACGACGTTCCGTGCGTGACTGCAGCTGCATTAGCCCTTTACAAGAAACTTCAAAATTTCGAAGGAAGCAGGTACGTCAGTGAGCGTCCCCACCGTTATCAGTGTTCAATGCAAGCCTCTTCGTTGGGCTGGTACTTGCATGAACAACCAGCCCCCCTGCTTGAAACAAAACGAAAACGAAAACAATTCCAAAGAATCCCTGTGACTACAAGGGGTACACACACACACAGAGACAGTAGTCTCAAAATGAAAGGCCTTGTGACACTGCTTATGAATCACAGCCTCTTTGCAGATAGACACAACTGGTATTTCATCGAGATATATAAGTGCTGCTAGCACAACTTGCGCACTCTTTCGCCCCATCCAAACTCAAATCAACTTGTCTCAAGCCTTGCAAAACACCAAACGAGCATAATAAGAAGAGCTTCATGTCGTCCACCATCTTGTGTCCGTGGTCCGGTCGGAAAGGGATCTCTGACATGACTCCCCAGCCTTCTGCCTTTCGGCGCTGCTTTTCTTGGAGCATCGTCAGCATGATGGAATACATGTCAACGTCACCACCCAGGTGATCGGACTCAGTGAAGGTACATCCTGCAGGTCCAAGCCCAGTCTCTGGCGCCGGAGGCATTTCCTTCGTCACGTTTCTCAAGTGCACAAAATGCGTACGTGAAGCAAACTCCTTTGCCATCTCTTCCACCTGGGGGTTGAGACGTAGAGCAAACACCAAAACTGAGCGCCAAGAAGAATCAAGAAGGATAATTTAGAAACAATTGAAAAGTCAACAAGTTCTTGACGTTCTTTTCCATCTTTGAGTCGGTTCTTGCAGCGAGTGCTCTTCGAGAAAAAGATCTTTTGAAAATCCTGAGCACAACCTTGCCCTAGTACAAGTTCATAACCACGTGGCCCCGCACCCCGCAGTGGCAAAAAGCTAAAAATATGAAAAACATTCAACGCCTTGTTCTGAGGCGAAGAAGCATAGGTTCCAACACAGAGTGTGATACCATTGTGCTTCGAGTCTGCTGCCTTCAAGAGAGCAGCCACATCATCACGAGTTGAACAGGCAGGAGGGAGGCCAAGAATTGGACGGGGCGGGTCGTCTGGATGGATGGCCATGTAGACCCCAGCTTCCTCACACACGGGAATGATGCTTTTCAAAAAATACGCAAGGTTCTCTCGAATCTGGGCCGGCGAAACATCCTTGTATTGAGCAACAGCTTGTCTAAACTCTTGCACTGTGTAGGCTTCCACCATCCGGCCAGGCAAGCCAGCAATGATGTTTTGTTGAAGAGTCTCCTTTTCTTTCTCTGTCATTTTCTCAAAGATCGCTTTTGCCCTCGAGAAAGCTGCAGCTTCATATTCTTTCTCTGCTCCGTCACGCTTCAATATGAAGAGATCAAAGGCTGCCAAATCGTCTGCATCGTAAGCCAATGCTTCCGAGCCATCTGGCCATCGTCGAGTCAGGTCAGTGCGGGTCCAATCTAAGACTGGCATGAAGTTGTAGCAAATCCTGTGAACACCACACTTGCCCAGGTTTCGCACCGTCTGTTTGTACGCCTGCAGCGGAGAAATACGTAATCCTTCACTGGTGTGGAAAGCTATCAATCCATCTGTGTCCCTGCTCCTAAATTGTTCAGCATGATGTCATGATGACCAATCAGCAGTTCGCCAAAATATAGACAAAATTAAACAAATGTCTTGCAGTATTTGCTGTCTTCTTCACACCTGGATGTATTGCTCTCGCTCAGCTTTGCCCAATTTGATGCTCTCGTGGACAGGCACAGACTCCACCACTGACCAAGTAAAGCCATGCAACTCCAACAATTTCTTTCTCTCCTGGCAAGCCGGTGTTCACCGACGTTCAATGCTATTGAAGAAGCTGGCAAGCTACTGGCTGAAACTTGTACCTATTGTGCATTACAGCAAATTGTGAGTCTTGGATGAGCGACTGTCTGATGCATACGCCGGAACGGGATCAAAACCCTTGGTCACATCTTTTTGCGGTTGGAATGTCGTTGATAGATTGTGAGGCTACCTAAACACCAAAATTAAACTGAAACCAACGAAGTCGATCATGTCGTGTTCCCATTACTCCACTGCGCATGCAATAGTCACCAGGGTGTGTCACGTCGCATCCATGATTCTTATGTACATTGCTTTGACTTGATCATTTACCTTGTTGCTTAACATCCTGTAAGCATAATCTGACACAACCATCTGTGCAAGGAGGTCTGAAGCCATTGCTATTGCAAGCTTGAGAAGAGCTGTTCAAAAGGAGTGCCAATAGACTGAAGCAATGCTGGATTAGAGCCACTTAGTGTGTCAGCTTTCTAGCACATGAAAAGAAAGTGAAGTGCAAAGACGAAAGATGGTGAACTCACTATAGTGCACATGGGATGGGAGTGACAACTCTTGCTATTGTACGACACATGCCAGATTCAATAGGCTTGAGTTTATGTCCCAAGGCAGAGTACATCACACAAAAAAAGGACATGCGGCGTTGCTTGCTCAACGTGTGTACTACGTCTAAGGAGAACGATACAAGTTGCAAGCTGGCAACTTCCGCTCCATGATAGCTTCTTCAGACCAAACCTCTCCAATTGGTACCTTGAACGAATGAGAGCTCCAGCAAGCTTTACAGTAATTTTTTGAAGCACCTTGCAAACATCAGTTGGATTCACCCTTTCAAGCAAGTCTGTGAGAAGGTGATATAATGTGGCAAAAAAGGACTTGTGACTTGTAGCGTTTGCGTTTCCGAACACTGACAATGGTGACGACGCTCCGCGTTTCTTGCCAGGTGACCTGATGGAGTGCTGTGACAATGCCAGATGCGCCCGCTTGCTTCACATCCTGCACTAGTCGGCTCAAAGAATCAGTTTGGAAAAAAGAGATCCCAAATCCCAAAGTGAATTATACCAGCATAGACCCCAAACAGCTTAGTCGGCAAGAATTATTGTCATCGTGGGCGGCCGCAGCCCCAGCCGCTGCCTCGGAAAGCAACGTAAACAGCAGGACAACAGAAAGACCAGAGGAGGACATAAGGAGGACAACAGAGGACAAAAGGATGAGGGAAGGAAAACAGCACGAACACACCAAGAGGACAAAAGAAAGACTAGTTCTGACCGGACAATGCCAAAAAAACAACAGGACAACATAAGGGGTGCATGCCAAGAGGACAACAAGAGGAGAAGAGGAAGAAGAGAGGACAAGAGAAAGACAAGACGATGATGGGAGGAGCACGACCGGAGATAGGCTGGCAGCCGCGGTCAATGAATACCGGAAGAAGGACAACAAGAAGGCAATAGAAGAGCATGAAGGGGACGGGACCGAAAAGATTGCGGAAGGGCTCGCCGGCGCCGCCTGACACTGTGGCCAACTTTCATTCCTAGGAGAGAACCTCGCAAGAAAAGGACAACAGGAGGACAAGGAGTGGACATCGGCTTCAGGGGTTGTTTCCTGGAGTTGTCTTTCTAGTGCCTCACCGCTTTGCAGCGCACGCTCGCATGTTGTCATGTTTACACCCTGACACAGGCTGCCACGTGGCCATGCTGCGGTACTGCGGTCTTCGCGCTTGTCGGCTGGCGCTTTCCCACTAGGTGTGCAATTGTTTTCCCGCATTGGACCCTTTGATTGCGCTTGGTGGTGTCATGTCTTCATGCTGCCATGCTGTCATCTGGACACCAGGAGAAGGACAACAAGGGGATGACAGGAGGACAAAGAGGAGGACAACAAGAGAAGAAGAGAACGAGAGGAGGAAAAGACAGAGAACAGAAAGATGACAACAGGAGGAGAAGGTCTGGAGACTGGCTGGCAGCCGCGGCCAAGCTGGTGTCACAAGAGGACAACAGGAAGACAAGAAGAGGCCAAGAAAGCCGCGGCCAAGCTGCACATCACAAGAAGAACAAGAAGAGGACAACAGGAGGACAACGCCCGGACGCAGCGTTCACCAGCGCAGCCAGGGACTGTGGCCAGTCCCTTTTTTCCCAATAGAAAACCCTAAAGAAATATACACATATGTAGAAGATTAGGAAGAATCCGTATAGAAGAGGAAATAGAGAAGGTGGACTTGGGTCCCTTTGATAAGGTTCCCTTTAACAGGATGCTTTATTATTGAAGGGACCGGAGTCCACCTGATCTTTTCTCTCGTTTCGGAAAGAATGAGGCAGAGCCGGGCAGAACATCAAGTCCTCCAACGTCACTGGATCGTTGGGGCCGTACCATCGCCAGGTCTCTTCAAGGAGTAGTGGTTTTATGGGCTTTGGCACTGGCTCCATTTCAAGAAGCCAGCAAAGGGCTTTTTCGTCGAGCTTCGGAAATCTAGAAGAGAGTTTTGCCCGGGCCAAATTGCAGCCAAATCAAACATGCTGGCAAGCGGTCTCAGAGAAGACTCCAACTTCATCGAAAGGTCGAAGTCTTGCCAGAAAGCGTTCTTTCTGATGGCACGAAGCCCCTACATCGAACCTCTGTCAAACAGAATAAAGTGAAACAGGCTGAACAATCCCGGGTGTGCAATGCTTCTGCAATTATCTCTCTTTGCAATGTTGGTCAGGAAATTCACTCTGAGCTATGCACACCTGGTTTGTTGGATGTCAGCTGCTCATTATCAAAAGCATCGGTATTCGACTCCGACTCACTTGGTCATGACTACGCCTGAAGCATGGAAACTTTGGAGGGGAATGTCTTGACAAGCACCCCATGTCAAGCCGACAAACATGTGAATGCCTGAGAAACACCCTTCAAATCAATCACCTGGTCCTGGTGCACGAAAAAGCTGTGCTGCAAGAATTCTGAACCAGAATGCTGCGTGTCATATACTGCTCATAATCCCTCCTCAGAGACAGAGATGGTCTCGTAGCTGCTAGCCTGAAGGAGGAAATGGAACTACTATGAACTGCTCAGCTTGTGTATAACTTGCCTTACTGCAAGACTCAGGGTTAGGCATCTTCCTTTTTGTCCCTGACATTGAACATCCAAGTAATTTCATGTGCAAAGTAGATTCAATCTGATCTCTTGGACACCAGGATACGATATCAATAGTTGATGTCTTTACTCAGGATAACGTCCTGGGCTCTATCAAAACGTCAAAAGAAACAGTTCATGGAAAGTGGACTGTGAAGAAGCAACCGCACAATGGCTGACAGAATTTAGAAGAAAGGGCAATGAGAAGTCAACGTGGGTTCTTGAGGCAAGCGAAATGACAAACAGGAGCAAGGACGCTACTAGGGGCTCCTGGCCTTACTACTAGGAGCAAGGACGCTACTAAGGGCTCCTGGCCTTACTACTAGGAGCAAGGACGCTACTAGGGGCTCCTGGCCTTAAAGGACGCTACTAGGGGCTCCTGGCCTTACTACTAGGAGCAAGGACGCTACTAGGGGCTCCTGGCCTTACCACTAGGAGCAAGGACGCTACTAGGGGCTCCTGGCCTTACTACTAGGAGCAAGGACGCTACTAGGGGCTCCTGGCCTTATCACTAGGAGCAAGGACGCTACTAGGGGCTCCTGGCCTTACTACTAGGAGCAAGGACGCTACTAGTACTATGAAATCAAAGGACTCGGGACCAAAGGATGCTCCAGACCGCTTTCCCAATCCAAAATCAACAAGCGCCAGGCCGCCAGGTGGAATGGGTGAACCGGCTTGCCCAATACTATGGCCTCCATAAATTTTGAAACAGGGGGAAGCCAAATTAAATCAAATAGAACAAGTGCTTTCTTTCTGGTTACAGAGCCCCCGTTCTATAGTAAAGCGCCTGTTTCTCCTCTTCAAAAAAGTGTGCCCTATAAATGGATTGGCCCAAGTTCCCCATGGAGAGCATCTACACCAAGCATAGAAACCATCAGAAGCAACCTCCATCGAGAAAAGGTAAGAAAGTCGGAAGTTAGAGGTTGAAGGCGATGGGTTAAGGATGTCCGCATGGAGAATGTAGGTAGACGGAACAGTCTTAACCAGTCTTCGGAACAGTATGCTGACGTATCAAGCTGTTCGTCTCAAGTGTCCATCCTTCTCGCAAAGGCTGTTCCAGTCAAGTCCACCTCCCCCATATCCTGAACCAACCGCTGTGGATAGTGCATCGTTTGGACAAGTCACACTGCTTCATACTGCTTCTTCAACTTGCTTCATACTGTATTTTCCGGCCTACCGTGTTCACATTGCACATACCGTCCTTGCTCAAAGATGTCGTGATTTCAGAGCGTCGAATCTTCTGAACCTTGGTATGCATGCACTAAGGTAGTCTTGTGATTAAAGTGAGACACGCAAAATGGCCGGCAAATGAGACTGCCACTAGTGTGTGCCTTAGATTGCTGGAAACACTCATTGAGCACATTTTATATACATGTTCAAAGGACAGCTCTGCCAAGTAGCACATCTGAGTCTGTGATGGAAGCTCTGCCAGGTGTGCCTTGCGTAAAGATTGTGTCTCAGACAGCGTGTGCGAAAGGTAATGGTTGCTGCTCGGCCGACTGTTTTCACGAATGAAGTATACAGTATATATATATGATGCAAATAGGTTGTCACGGCTTTGTCCTTCATATTCCTTCATAGTGCATTTGGAACTGGTACCAGTTGTGGCTTAGCCCTGTGTTGGTGACCAGGGTTACTATATATGATGTTCTTCGTTCGTTTCGTTGAACTGCACTGCAGGTTTCAAGGGCTTTTGCCCCAGTTGAATGCAGCTAAACAGCCCTCAAACTGATAGGAATCATGTCCTGCTTGTGTTGAGATTACAGGTGCTGCGAAGTCTCTAGTCTATTGGACAAAAGCGTCTGGACTGCAAATTATGATGTATGTGAATGTGACCGAAGAGTTTGGGCAAGCTGGCTCGAGACACATCAAAGACATTCCAAACTGTCTTGCTTTCTCTTGGCTGGCTTTCAAAGCAAATTGGTTTAGGACAGGCTCCAGCAATCGGTTCTACCATTGAAGCTTGCATGCACAAGCCTCCCGCCCAGATTCGGCCTGCAGCTTGTGGTCGAGGCGATGGCTCAGGAGACATCCCTTCCTGGCAACTCGCTTGTTCTAGTGTGAGGACGAGAGAATGCCAAGGCGGCCTGTGAAGCAGCACTCAAGGATCGAATCCTCTTTACCTACCACAGGTTGGCATACCCCAATTGATCCAAATGATTCAATGACTGAATCAGTGCTGACAGCCTCCTCCAACTCCTGGTGCAAGATCCGCCCATTGTTTTGTTCCTCCTCCCAAATATATCAAGGACTGTTTTGGGGTCGGCTGGGTGAAGACAGCCACCCATCCACTAAGTCACTAAGAATCCAGAAAACAGTTTTGTGCTGAATGCACAAGACTGAATGAAGTTTCTCTCTATCGCCCGACCTGCAGGGCAGCGCGAAGACCTCACACCACTCGTGGAGACAAGGAACAAAAACACTACAGCAAGAGACACTACTGACATGAACATCACAAACAGCACAGGTGTCAGCTGTGAGGGTGTGGCTGCTTTCAGCTTTGCGCCGCTCACTGATTGCCTGCCTGAAGTCCAGCAACAAGTCCCGAAGCCGTGGAGTTTCAGAAAGGTAGATCAAACTTCAATCAAACAATAGGGCTGCGGCTTGTAGTGCTCCACATCTGCCTGAAGTGTGTCTCTCTCCTTCTGCAAGCTGTCCTGCATGGTGTTCAAGTAGTTCATTGTTACAGTAATCAGACCCAGGATTGGACGTTGAGAACATCTTGGAGCACAAGGTCTTGGAACCCGGCCATGAGTCGCTGCATCTGGACAAGCACAGTTGCTGCAAGGTCACAGACTTGCATGAACGAATCATTTGCCTTACGAAGAACTGCACAAAAAAACGAAACACAGTCTCTCCCTTGGCCTCTTCCAAGCCGCTCTTGGGAACGGATTGGGCTCGTGCCTTGGCATCTTTGTGACTTCTGTGAACAAGCTCGTGGAGTCATGGCCTGGGTTTCTTGAGACCGGGCGTCGCTCAGCTCCGTAGAGAGACGCAGCACCTTCAGTTGCTAGGCGCAGTCGCTTGTCTCAGTTCATTCTCCATACCTTGGAAGCTTCAGTTAGCGATGGCCTCCACCCTACTAGCGATCGCCTCCAACCTACTAGCGATGGCCTCCAACCGATTAGCGATGGCCTCCATATATACATTTTTTTATTATATTGACAAATTTTGGCCCCGTTTTGTCGTATTCCTCAGGCAGGATGAGACACGTCTTCTCTCTCGCTGTCAGAATTGTGCGTGCACTTTTCTCATCTTGTCTTTTTTGTGCCACAGAAATCTATACTTGGTTTGCAGGTGCCTTCTTGGTGTGCCAAGTGTAAAGTTGTGGGTCAGCCCCCAGCCTGCAACTCTGGAGCACTCTGTTGGCTCCATGCAAAAACAAGAACCCCGGTCAAGCACGTTGAGCTTGATCTTGTACTCCTAATTGTGGATGTCTCGTGCCTTTTTGTGCTCCAAATCGTGGTTTTCTCCTGACTCCCAATTATGATTATATTATTATATATAGTTATATAATATACATATCTGATATATTATATATATATATCCTTCTAAATGTCTTTGTTGTGCTCCAGGTGCGGTTCTCTGCTCCAGGTTGTAGCAGAGTTTATATATATAGCCTTTCTTGTGCTTGTTTGGTGCTCCACCGTGTCTTCTTCCTTCCTGCGTTGTATGTGCTGCCACAAGGTCAGGGTTGAATTTGACCGCAACGAAACAACGTTTGGGAGGGCGAATCTATGCTTTGTCCCAGCAAGATCTTGATTGTAAAACTGCAAAGCCCAACAGGTTGAGAAGATTCCAAAGGGCTAAAAAAAAGGTTCTGCGGTCTGTTCTGAATGAAGGTATTGGGCGATGGTTCCAGAGTTTTTTTTCCGCAGTGCATTGCTGGTACTGCATGACGATCTTTGAAGCGGATTGACTCTGCACCTCATTTTGCTGCTGCTCGAGCTTGGCCTGCACCTCGAAACCAAAGATATGTCTTTTCTCAAGTCCATCCAGTGCATGAAAGTGTCCAGACCTCTCGCACCTGCAGCAAAGCATCATCACGCTCCTTGCACAAACTTGAGGTAGCCCGCCGGTACGAGCCTAGGAAGCCCATAGTCAGCGGCTGCATGCGGTGTCCTTGCTTAGCCGCTGCTGTCTCCCATCAAAGTCCTTGGAAGTGCGAAACAATCCTGACAATACACTTCCACACCTTCTGAGATGTCCGACGGTGAGATCAAAAGGAACAAGTGCCCACTAGTGCAAAACGCTGGGCTCTGCTGTCCGTGCGGGAGCACTGATTGTTTCAAGGCTCAGGAAGAGGTCTGCGGGATCTTCTGCCATCTTGTGGCTGCTGGAACCCCCAATTGAGCACTAGCTCTGGTGTATCCAAACAAGTTCTCCTATTGCTGGCAGCTATTTGCTGGCTTGGATTAGAACCGGTTCGGGTTTGCAAAGAAAAGCAATACTTTTTGACACTAACAAGTAAGGTCAGGACGGACAAGGTGGCCGTGGCCTACGAAAGAACCAAGAAAAAGACTTCAGCGCAAGCCTGATTCCAACAAGCCAATACCATAGTGAGATCCCTGAACAACTCAATAGTGTCCCCACCCTTTCTCGCATGACACTCTGTGCTAGCTGCTTCGCAGCCGCTCCGTAGGGAAGTATGTCGCAGTTCAATTTTAAGAGGTACTGTACGAGTTTACACTTCGGAAGACGAGCCTGCTGGTTTTGAACCGCGACATAGCACAAACACTCGAAACATGTGCAAGCTGAGACTTGAGAAGCGAAGCGTTCTTAAAATGATTTGAGAGAGAAATGATTGGGTCCGGTCCGGAGTCCGGTCCGTCCGGCAATGTCTGCTTTGAAATTGGGGGTCAAGCTCTTCAGAAAGGGCTTGGCAGGTTCTGGTAGAACTCTCGGAGCGTTGCGGGTAGGATGAAGACCCATTAGGCTCACTTTGACTCCAGGGCTCCCATAGTCCCCCAAGTCCATGTAGGCTTTGCGGTAGCGCTCCTGCACTTCGAGACTCGAAGAGCAAAAGAGTCTACCACTGTCCAAACCACCAAATGGTCAATGGATGTCAATAGCCATAAGAAAATTTGTCTTAAGGCTTAAGGTGTGACTGATATATAGCAAGCTCATGTAGTCGGGGTGTTGCAAGACAAGCATATCAGCTCCCCTTCCCCAAAAAGGCATGCTGTGCGGGGAAGACAAACTGCAAAGTGCTAGAGCAAAGTGTGATGGATAAGAAAAACAAAATGGGCGAGGCACTGAAACTATCTTCAGCATCTGACTGCGAATCCACAGAGAGAGGAACGCTGTGAGGGCCCGTGTTTTTCAGTGTTTGTTTTTTGTGTCTTTTTTACTATATTTGGGCCTGTTACATACAAAATATATTGTGTAACCATTATCAACCATTTTCTGGCAGATATGACTTTTGCTTGCTCCTGCAAGTAATGTCCTAATCATTGTTTGGTTCACTTTCTCAATGCCACTCACAATATCATCAGTATCAGTATCATACTCATTTTGAATGATTCTATCTTTAGATGTTGAAATGTCTACAAGTTGATTTTCTACAACTTGGTAAAATTAATTAGGCAATTTAATATCCACATTCTTGCTCACTCTCCAGCCTCCAATCTTATTGATAAAAGCCACTCACTTGGGTTCTTTTGAACTTCAGCTTTGATGGTGAAACAATCAATCTTAAACACACTATACTATAATACCAGCATGCGTCAGTTTAAAGTATGTTTTATAAATTTCAACAAACGGTGCTGCAAAAGAAGTTCTTTGATATACCTAATTGTTAACTCCTGAACTGGTTTTAGTTGTTTGGTATCACGTGTTGCAAAAACAAATTGCTCAACAAACCATGTGGCTTTGCAATAAAAACTCAAACCGATGAAATAGATTTGATCGATTGCTATGACATCAAATTCTGACTAATCAAATGGTTCCATTTAAACATCACTAAAACTTTGACCAAAAATATTGTTATTTAGTGTTCTGGTGCCAACTTCAAATTAATGTGATAACCTATTAGTAGGCCATACAAATAATATTGTGTACTGTAACCATTATCAACCATTTTCTGGCAGATATGACTTTTGCTTGCTCCTGCAAGTAATATCCTAATCTTTGTTTGGTTCACTTTCTCAATGTCACTAACAATATCATCAGTATCAGTATCATACTCATCATTTTGAATGCTTCTATCTTTAGATGTTGAAATTTCTACAAGTTGACAACTTGGTAAAATTAATTTAGGCAATTTAATATCCACATTCTTGCTCACTCTCCAGCCTCCAATCTTATTGATAAAAGCCACTCACTTGGGTTCTTTTGATCTTCAGCTTTGATGGTGAAAGCATCAATCTTAACACACTATACTGTAATACCAGCATGCTTCAGTTTAAAGTCAGTTGTATACAGTTCAAAAATTGTGAAAATTAGCTTCAAAATTAAAAAAACGTGCTTTTATCACTCTGCTCTACTAGACTTGCCAGCCTTTGCCCAAGAATCCTAATCTGGAGGAGGGGTCGACCCTAATTTGGTAGACCCTCCCTCTCAGCCTTTGCCAAAGGATACTAATCTGGAGGAGGAGGGTCGACCATTTGGTCAATCCTCCCTCCTAGCCTTTTCCAGAGGCTCCTAATCTGGATCTGGAGGGGGGGGTCGACCAAAAAACAACATTGTTTTTTTTGCTCGACCCCCCTCCCAGCCTTTGCCAAATGCTTTTTTTTTGCTTTCCCCCCCCAAAGATCCCTCTCTTCCGCTTTCAGATTGAGACGTCCTTGTTCCTTGCCTACATTGTGTGGCACATAAGCTTTTGTTATTGTTTCACACATATTTTGTTTTGTTTAATGTATTACAAATTATATATAATATATAGGAAAAGTAACAAATAGAAATATATAAGTATATAAAGTGATTTTATTGAAAACAATAGCTGTTTAGAAACACTGCAAAACGCAGGCCCCCGCAGCGTTCCTTCTGAATCCACAAATGTTCAGTCGGAGCAATGATTTGCAGCACACTGCCACTGACAGTGCAAAGAAAACTTAACTTGCAGTTTTGAAGTGGGACAAGCAAACTCTGCAACATAATGAGATGATTGACATGAAGCCGTCTGTGTAACAAGTTCGGGGCTCTACGGTTGACCCTGATGGATATATAACTGCAACCAGAAAAGAAAGTGCCGGAATTAGCAAGCGGTAGTGATGTGCATTCCCTGCCAAACCTATTAGCAACCTGTCACTCGCAACTATTCACAATATTTCACAATCTAGCAACAAGGATTGAGCTGTCCTCAAAATGGCCATCATTTCGTCGGCCTGCCCATCCATTGCTCTGCTCCTGTACTTTGTGTGGTACAAAGTGCCGGTCCTTGGAAAATCCGAGAATCTCCTGAAGCCTTGCTGCGTAATCAGGGTCACCGTGGTCTCGGTCGCCAGGCGTATTCCCCACAGGCAAGCCGAAGCGGGTCCGGGGCTGTGGCAAAACAGTCTTCAAATCGGCGGCCCTGTCTGTGAGACCAGAGGGGCTGATGGATTCACTCTCTCTCTCCCAACTGATGGAATCCTTTTTGTCCTTCTTGGACTTTGATCTGTCAGGCGCTTCTGCATTTGCTTGGAGACTGTCGAAACCAAAGGACATCTCTTCTTCGTGCCCGAAGCTAGGCCATCTGGTATTGCTCCCCTCTTCCTTAGACTTCTCTGGTTGCTCTCCTTGCCCCCAATCTAGATCATCCTGGCCAAAGGTGGACCACTCTCCTTTGCCGAAGCCCTCTTCATTCGACTCCTTGTTTTTTTTGTTTTTCTTTTCGCTCTTGTCTTTTTTGTCGTCCTTGTGTTTTTTTTTTGTCCCTTCTGTCTTTTCTTCGTGCATCTTGCTCTTCTCCGAAGCTAACGTGGGCATCCTGAGAGAAGTCCTGAAGAAAGTCCACTTCATTTGGAAACTGAGGTTGCGGAGTGTCATTACCAAAGTTGGCAATGCTCGGGCCACTGGGGAACTCTGGGATTGCAGGATCCACAGTCACATCCCTCCCAGCTCCGAGCTCTACCTCAGGACTTGATTGCTTGCCTACAAAAAAATAGAATAAAGCTAAGGAATACGTTCTTTAAAAACACTTTGCCATTGATTGTGACCAATCCAGTCTTGTGCAAGTTGAGTTCACCTCGGATCATCTCGGCTGCAAATCTTAGTGGATCTAGCCTAAAGAAGGTTTTTCGTTCTGAGCGTGCAAAGGTTGCATCATTGAGGCGGCGTTGCTTGTTTTTCTTGCATTGAGTTGCTTGGCGGTTGTAGTGCACTTGGCGTAGATACCTCACAGAGGTCTCCTGGTTTGCTGGTGGCACTAAGCCAGCACAGCGACAGCACTTAATGGCTCCGAAGCTGATCAGTCATTTGGGTGGCTCAGCAAGGTGGTTGGCCATGAGTTGGTCACAGAAAGGAAATTGCAGGTCCAGACGGTGTGAAGGTGTTGCTACAACGTCTTTCGGCAAATCCGTTGGTCAGGAAGTCGCTGCCTAATGCTGCAGCAATCATTTCGGAGTACTCCGCTTTCAAGCGTCGACCACAAGAAACAATATCTCATGAAAGCCTAGGATTTAAAGAGTTTGCAGAAGCACTGGCTCAATTGAAATAGGAGAAAGAAGGCCATGATCCTGCGCTTCGCAACTTTGACCTCCACGACATGTCACCTCCTCCTGATGAGTCTGACCATGATGGTCGCCTGATCTCTATCAATGGCGGCATTGGGAACCGCCAGGTGGTTCCGACGGTGGTCCTGAGCGCGAGGATGGCTACGCTGGCGTTCCTCAGTCTGACCCTCGAGAAGTTAGTCCTCCCAGAGCCCAGGCCTCAGTAACCGGACCGGGCTCACCAGTGGGAAGAACCATCCCAGCAGCTAAAGTTGGATTTGGGGTTTACTCAGCGTGCACAAGTTGTTGGGGGTTCTTCACCTCTTGGGCCTCAAGATTCCTTCATCACGCAGGTCCTCCAAGGTTGGAGATTGCTTGTTGCGGCTTCCCTCACTCAAGAAGAGTGGCCACGACAGGAAACAAGCTGGGATATGAAAAGATTCTCTGTGGGATGAACCGTTGATGGGCTATCGGCTATCGACAGAGTCATCAGACACCATGATGACAGTTCCCGCTGGTCAACCTTTCCTTCGGAAGCAATGGCAGCCTCGCTCCTCCTGCAGCCTCCCACGAGCAAGAAATGCTAGAACAGGAAAAGGCTGCAGAAACCATGGCCATGGAAGCTCGTCGCACCTGGTCACATGTCAGAAAACCACGGCCGCCCTCCGACGAGATCGTGGCTTCGGACAGCACTCCAGCTCGTCCAACAGTGGCTGTTTCATTTGTGGCGGACCACATCTTGCCAAGGACTGCCTGACAAGTCAGCACCTCGCAAGGGCTCTGAAAAGTTCTTGTCTCCAGCTGAACTGGATCAGTTCCTTGGCGCGCAAGGAAAAGGAAAGCCGCTTGGCAAGTCTAGGGGCTG